GTATTACAAAGCTTTACTACCTTCGAAGGGCCATACTGCATGAAGAGTCTCTCTGTGCTATTAAAATTTCCTAGAGTGGGTGCTTAGGACAAACCTGTCAAAAAAGTTCCCAATAATGAAATAATGAAAAAAAAGTTGAGAAACATTGTTCTACCCAAGCTCTGCATGCTGGGAAACTTCGAGAAACAATCCTGGACCCTCTTATCTTCCTTTTTTCTTTATTATTTATCTTAATGATCTCATCAATTTTCATAGATTTAAAAAACATTTTTATACTGATGACACTTAAATTCTTATCTGATTTCTCTGTCTCTGGAATTCATGGTCTCTCATGAGAAAAATCACCTAGTTATTTTCTTCTTTTAATGGTCCCATGACCTTCTTTTCTAAATGAAATTTGGCTCTGTCTTGATGACAATGCAGCCTTCTCATGCAATAGCTCTTTTCTCTCATATTGCTATAAGTAAGCTTAGAGGTGGGACAGACACCTACCTGCTCCTTATTGTCATTCTGACCCCCGTCCTGAAACTCCTCAATTTTAATGTCATTGATAATATTTCCCATTAACCAGCTACCTTCTTGCATTCCTCACTAACTTTGGGATTGATCACCCTCATTCATAGTCATTCCTCTCTCCAATACAAATCCTGACATAATTTTTGGTAATTTTAATATTCATAGACATGATCAATTTAATATTCTGATCTTTCTGAACTGGACCTCTTCTCCAACCAAAATCTTCTATCTACCTTAATCTCAGATACTCATTTCCCATATTCATTACTAGGCTTCAAAAATTCTTCAGCTCTATCAGGAACTACTATCTATTAATTCCAGTCTATTTTCCTCAACATATTTACATCCTTATTTCTCCTTTATGCAATAAATTCTATGGTCCATCATTATAATCACTTCAACACACGCCAATTGCTGAAGCTCTTCAACATATTCACTTGACAAAAAACCAGGTCTGGTTAAATCCTGCTTCTCCACTGCTGAGGCCTATAGTCATGCTGACTTGTCTGACCAATCTCAGAGGTAACACCTAGGAATCATATAACATCTCTCCATTCATATCTCCTATTCTTCTAGACAACGATTTTATATTTCCCTCTCATTTCTTTTTTTTTAATTTTTTTTAATATTTTTTTTTATAGAGGCATGTTTTATTTATTTGTTTGTTTGTTTGTTTTTGTTTATACATGCACTGGGTACAGTCAGAAGCACGGGAGGGTGAGAGAATTCACCAGAGCCAGAGCAGGGAGCAGAGCAGGCAGAAGGACCGAAGTACACTGCTGAGGGGAGCAGTGGGTGGCAGGAGAGGTCTGCGCGACATGTGGGACCCTCCTCCGGTGGCCGGGGAGCAACCGGGGATCGAACCGGTGCCGTAGAGGCCTCGGGCAGCTTTGCAACCCAGCGCTCAACCGCTGCGCCACCGGGGAGGCCCTATTTCCCTCTCATTTCAACAATTCCTCCTTCATTCGCACTCTCAGCTGATGATATGGCTTCTTATTGCACTAGAGAAAATAGTAGTACTATACTACAAAAGCTACAAACTACCACAACTACCTTCTACCTAACTATCTGCATTCATTTTTTTTATTTTTAATTTTTTTGTGGTTTTATTTTTATTATTATTTTAATTATATATATTTTTATATCATTTTTCATTTTTGTACAATGTATGCATTTTCACCTTGGTTATAATCCCCATACAATTCCCACCCTCCCGCCTTGTGTTGATCCTATTCCCTCCTCCCACCCTGTAGTGTTTCTCTGGTTTATAGTTGCTTGTTGATTTTGATTTTTACTTTATTATAATTAGTCTTTTTTCCTGGTCCCTTATTTAGGTTTTCTAAATTCCTGCTATGAGTGAGACCATCTGGTATTTTTCTTTTTCTTTCTGGCATTCATTTTTAACACAGTTTGTCTTTCTGCCTATTGCTATGAATGAACTATACGTACTTACACAATATAAGGCCAATTCCATTTATTTAAAATAGTCTTTTTTATTCCCTAACTCCCATTTTTCTCTTCTTTAAATAGCTTTTGAGATTTTGTTCACATAGCATATAAATAACGCATTTCAAATATACAATTCAATAATTTTAAAGCATAATAACAGGTTTGTGAAATAATCATCATCATTATCTAATTTTAGAAGAAAAGAAATTCTTCTAAATTTCTAAAAGAAATTCTGTACAGTGATCCCTATTCCCCTCCTGCTGCTATCCCAGTCCTAAGCAACCACTAATCTTTCTTTAAAGTATATATATGTTATAGCATGTATCAGTACTTCATTCCTTTCTATGACTGAGTCATATTCCACTTTATAGATACACCACATTTTATTTATCCATTGATGGACATGGGGGTTGTTCCAATTTTTGGACTATTATGAATAATGCTGAACATTCCTGTACAGTTTTTATTTCTCTTCAGTGAAATTGTAAGATCATATGTTTAACTTTTTTTAAAAAAAAGATTTATTTATTTATGCATACAAGAACTGGAATACAGGCCAGAGGTATGGGGGGGGTAAGAGGATTTACTAGAGACAGAGTGGGGAGCAGAACAGGTAGATTTGAAATACATTGCTGAGGGGAGCAGCAGGCAAGACAGGAGAGATTTGCTGCACCATGTGAATTAGCTCCTTGGTGGGGGATCAAACTCGTGCACAGTGGCTGGGAATAGCTTCATAGTGCTGTGCTTAACCCCTTGTGCCACCAGGGAGGCCCCTTTGCTTAACTTTTTAGGGAACTAACAAACTGTTTTTCAAAGTGGCTGTATAATATTATATTCCTATGATCTATGTCTGACAGTTTCCAATTTTCTCTTGTGCACACTCCAATTAGGTTTTCATTCCTTGTACTGGTTGAGGTAACCAAGGACTCCTTATGGTTCAACCAAAGATCAATTTTTAGTCTTCAACTTGTTTACTTATTAGTATTTGATTCAGCTAATCTCTCACTTCATTAAACTCTCCTGCTTTTCCTTTACCTGGATGATCATATCTGTTCTTCCTTTTTCCCCAACCTCTAATCACTGGCAAGTCCTAGACTCACTCCATTGATGTTTTCTGTCTCTATCTACAGTCATTCTCTTTGTGATCTCATTCAGGCTATCATTTATGTGTATTGCCTGCTCCCGAATGTCTAATAACAGACTAATTCTATACTGTCCAATCTAGTAGCCAGTGCAACATGTAGTTATATAAATTCAAATTAATTAAAGTTAAATTTAACACTCAGTTCTTCAGTCACATTTAGCTATATATTTCAAGAGCTTAAGTGTCATATGTAGCTAGGAGCCATTGAACTAGACAGCACACACAGAACACTTTCTTCATCACAGAAAGTTCTAATGTACAATGTTCATCCAAACCTCTCCTCTGAACTCAAGATTTACAAAATCAACTGCCTTCCTAATATCTCTACTTGATGCCAATAAATATCTCAGCATCAAAATATTGATATTCCTCACTAAACGTGTTCTTTCCAATTTTTTTTTCCATTTTGGTTGATGTTAACACTATCTTTTCATTTGTCCAAGTCAAAAAACATGGGGTAACCCTTGATTTTACTCACTCCATATTTACTCATGAGCATATTCTGTCAACTCTAAATCTAGAATGGAACCACAGTCTATAATCTCCATTTCTACTGTCATTGCCAGTTGTAATAGCTTCCTATAACTGACCTCCATGCTTCTGTCTTAGTTCTCCTTGATGCCCATACTATTTTTAACATAACAGCAAGAATTTGAATTTTGTAAAACTCAAAGTCAGATCATTTCACTCCTCTATTCAAAGTCCTCTAATTGCTTCCCAGTTTACTCACAAGAAAAGTCAAAGTTGTTATAATAGCCTTACAGGGTACTATATGCTCAGACCCCATTACTTCTCTAATATCTCCTACTGCCTCCACCTCGCACACTCCTCAGTAGTCATAATGACTGCTGCTCAAAGCACCAAACATATTTCAACCTTTCCCATGAAAGCATAATTCACAAATCACTAATCTTAAGAATCAAAAGCTAGACTAAAAGCAGGGTATTTAGAGATTCTATTTCTAGGTATCTAGATATTTAATCTACCCAGTCAATGAAGGGAATTAAATAATATTAATTATATAAAGAAAAGGATTTTCCAAAAGCTAAAAAGTGAATGACTTTACTAACCCTACATCTCAAAAAAATCAATCAGTTGTCTGGAATAGCAGAGACAAACTGATCAGTTGACAAGATTTTTTTTAATAAAACTTTACCAAGAAAAACCCTGTAGGAATATAGTTTAAGATTTCTTATTTGTTAATAGTATAACTATATGTACTTATTAAATTGGTAAAGACCTTCAAACAACTACATGGACTATGAACAAATTGTACTCAATGAAGCTGGTATACAAACTGTCTTACTGGTCTGTTTTGAAATAAGCAGCTTACATAAGAACCCAATTCAATGCATTGTTTTCTTTATCAAGAAAACTTTGTTATGAAAAAAATTTCAATAAGCTAAGTAATATGCTTACTAATGTGAATGTTTTACATTGTGGTACAAGTTCTCTGTTCACTGCAGACTGACAATTAACATTTTAAAAATTGGCACAGGTGCATAAATCATACTTTGGGTAGCACTAAATCACCTCTGGGGTGTTTAATTCAAACCCACTCAATATTTTATTTAATATTTTCTATTATACATGCAATGTCAGAGTTTTGGTGCCATTTTTCATTCTACAATTTATTGGAATGCATCTTGTTTCTAGATGTCACCCAATCTCCTAATTTATTTTACAGAATTTTAATGCTGGTCAGGAATAAGGCTTTAACATACAAGAATAGTAACATATTGATGAATTTCTAAGATACTCAAAATTATAATTTTAAAATAAATTATATAAAAGCACTTCAGAAAGGTGAGATTTGGTAACATATTAGCTTTGAAAACTTTTGTTTTATTTTGAAAGAGATATATAAAATCACCCACTTTTCAACACTAACCTAAATATTCCATCAGTTGTTCAGCAGTTATGATTTCCATCATCGGTGGAAGTTTCACCTGAAAAACAAAGTATTTCTTCTATAAAATCAAAGGTTTTTGGTGATTAAAGTGTTTCCTCAATCGGAAACACAAATATGTATATATGTATCTATTATTAAACACAAGTATGTAATGTGTCTATATATGTACACATTAATATTCACATTATTAAAGTCTTTATAACTAATTTTTATAAAATAAAACAGATTCAATACTATCATCATAAAATTTGCAGGGTGATATAAGAGCTCAGAGACATTGAGAAATCTGCTTTCAAAGCCAAGTGCTATGCCTTTCACCACCCACCAAGATTGTCATTAGGCACCTGCAATAACATCCTATATGATAGAAAATTCAGTAAAAGGTCAGGAAGAGGCATCAAACATGTTGTCACAGGTTACCCATGAAGACAGGTTTGAACACAGCTTAATATCCCATTACTTTAGTACACTTTGACCTTTTTCTTCTTCTTCTTTTTTAAAAAAAAAAAAAAAAAACTATTAGATGGCCTCCACAATCCTTTTTTAAAATTTCTTTTTTTTTTTTTTTTTTAAGATTTATTTATTTATTTATACAAGCACTGGGTACAGTCAGAAGCAAGGAGGGTGAGAGAATTCACCAGAGTCAGAGCGGGGAAAAGAACAGGCAGACCAAAGTACACTGCTGAGGGGAGCAGAGGGTGGCAGGAGAGGTCTGTCACACCATGTGGGACCCTTGCCCGGCAGCCGGGGATCGAACCGGCACTGTAGAGGCTGCGGGCAGCTTCGCAGCCCAGCACTCAACCGCTGCGCCACCAGGGGAGGCCCTAATTTATTTTTCTTTATTTATGCATACAAGAGCTGGGGTACAGGCCAGAGGTGCGGGGAAGGTGAGAGGATTCACCAGACACAGAGTGGGGAGAATAGGCCGATCCAATGAAACTTGCTGGGAGCAGTAGGCAAGACAGGAGAAGTCTGCTAAGCCATGTGGGTAGCTCCCTGGCTGGCGATAGAAGTCATGCCACAGTGGCTAGCTGGTGATAGCTTGATAGCACTGAGACTTTAACCCCTGTGCCACCAGGGAGGCCCTGGCCTTTTTATTCTTGAATGGCTAAAATTTTAATACATTACCATTAAAGTAGTAGACATACAATGAAGAATTCATACTATATGATTCTACCTGTAAAGTTTAAAAATGCAAAATTAAACTACATTGTTTAGAGCTCCACTGTTAGGTGATAAAACTATAAAGAAAAGTAAGAAAATGGATATTATAAAAATCTTATGGCTAGCCCTAGATATAAGAGAAAGTGTTATATTTGGAACGGAGCAAAGAAGAACCTTCTGGGGTGGTGGCAATACTCTGTATTTCTTGATTTGCATGATAGTTTTACTGATATTTGCTTTATAATAACTTGTTAAACTGGACATCTCTGCTTTATGTACATTTCTATTGTGCTGTGTGCCACATTAAAAGGTTAAAAGTAGATATACTCATTATGGGCACATTTAAATTTCTAAAGTTAAGGGCCTCCCTGGTGGCACAAGGGGTTAAGCACAACACTATGAAGCAATCTGCAGTCTCTGCAGCAAGAGTTTGATACCTGGCCAGCCAGGGAGCTAATCACATGGTGAAGCAGATCGCTCTTGTCTCACCCACTGCTCCCCTCAGCAGTGTGTTTCAGTAGATCTGCCTGTTCTGTTCCCCACTCTGTCTCTGGTGAATCCTCTCACCCTCCACATCTCTGGCCTGTACCCCAGCTCTTGTATACATAAATAAATAAATCTTTATTATTTTTTAAAAGATTTATTTATTTATTTATGCAAGCACTGGGTACAGTCAGAAGCGTGGGAGGGTGGGAAAATTCACCAGAGCCAGAGTGGGGAGCAGAACAGGCAGAAGGACCGAAGTACACTGCTGAGTGGAGCAGCAGGCGTGGCAGGAGAGGTTTGCCGCGCCATGTGGGACCCTCGCCAGCGGCCTGGGATCCAACTGGTGCTGCAGAGGCTGCAGGCAGCTTCGCAGCCCAGCACTCAACTGCTACACCACCAGGGGAGGCCCTAAATAAATCTTTTAAAAAAAAAAAAAAACTTCTAAAGTTAAAACAGGTGCAACAACACATTAAATTTTTCAAATGAATTGCCCGAAGAGTTACACAGATATTACAGTGGATGACTGTAAATATTTTAACTGATTCACAGTTAATATATATAATATACCATGCTCTATGGTATATTCATAGAAGAAAAATGTGCACTGTAGGATGGGAACTTAAAGTAACTATATAGCAATGATAGGAGCACAGCAACATAATTAAAAATTCTTCTGTAATTATTTTGTTCTAGGATATAATTTAAATCACCAATTTCTTCAAAAATTCCTATGAACATTAAAAAAGGAGTTCTGAGTATTTATGCTGTCCAATGTGGAAAGATATGTCAAAATTCTTTGTTTTTATCATTGAGTAAGTTCTACAAAAGATCCCTGTGAAAAAAAACAATTTGAGATCCTCTGAGAATATACATGACAGTAATGCTTACATTTGGTTATCCAGTAGATTTATCACTCAGAGAAAACTACGAGATGCCTTGGAAATTTTGATCTTTACTTATTCTACATTATTTTTATTTTCTGTGACATCTTTTTAAAAAAATGTAATAGACTTTTTTTGAGTTTAGGTTTACAGAAAAACTGAGCAAAATGTACTAAGATTTCCCATATATGGTATATTTTTAAATTTTTCATAGTCACCTGTCCGTTTTTCTAAATAAAGTTTTATTAGAACAGTTACTCTTTCTCCTTTATGTATTATCTTTTATGGCTTTTAAACTGCAATAGCAGAACTGAATCTTTGTAACATAGCTCATATGGCCCACAAAGTCTAACATATTTCCTATCTGTTCTTGTAAAGAAGGTTTGTTTTTTTCTGCTTTAGATTATTTTAACTGTTAATATGTAATAATAAAGATATTTCAATACCACTTTCGAAGGTCTGACATTTAAACCAGTAGTTTATATCCAATATGAATGTTTATGTTCTGAACAATTGCCAGGCCAATCTGAAAGCCCCATTTATACTTAAAATTTTTTCTTAAATAAGACCTATATATATATATATTTTTATTCCAGACAGATTTGTTGCAGAAATGTATTTATCCAAAAACTCCATTAATAAGTAGCTTATCCAGGCCTCCCTGGTGGCACATGGAGTTGGGCACGGCACTATGAAGCAATCTGCAGCCTCTGCAGCACGAGTTTGATCCCCGGCCGGTCAGGAAGCAACCCACATGGCGAGGCAGACCTCTCCTGTCTTGCCCACTGCTCCCCTCACCAGTGTATTTCAGTCAGTCTGCCTGTTCCATTCCCCACTCTGTGTCTGGTGAATCCTCTCACCCCCCACAGCTCTGGCCTGTAACCCAGTTCTGTATGCATAAATAAATAAATCTTTAAAAAAAAAAAAAGCTTATCCTCTGCTTTGGTGAATGCAGTAATCCTACTATAAAGTTGTCAGAATAAGAAACCATAGCACTAACAAGTGTATATATTTGGGAAATGTTTTCTATAATCCTGTATTTCTATAAATGAATGATTTCAGGTTTTAGACTTAAAATTTCCAAATAGTAACAACTGGCTAATTAACATGTCTTGCTTCAAACATTGGAAATAGGAACTGACCACCTTTATACTGGTTTTAGATGTAGAGCAACAAATAATGCGAGTGCTTTAATTGATTTATTCACAAGCATATTCAGTGATATATTCACTTCTTGAATCCTAGCCAACAAAATATTCTGAATGTTCATTAAAACTAGAGACAAAGGAGAAAAATGAAGAAATGCCTGCCTCCCACTAATACTCAGGAGTCAGCAATAGACCTTAATGTTTTTTGAACTATAAAATTATCTTCCTAATGGCTTGCTTCTCTTCTTGCTTTTCTTCAACACCATCACCTCAAGAGCAAGTGCCAAAGGTTTTGTTAATGATCCTAAGATGTTCACACTTTCAATCCTTTGTCTCCTCGATTTTATTAGAGAAGAAACAGGTTATGGGATAACTAACTGAAACCACAATTAACAATTGTGGCAGTCTATCTGAATCTCAAAAATTTAAATATAAAAAAAAAACCCCACAAATGAAGTATGACCTAGGTTTTCAGGTGGTCCACCTTTATTAATAATCTACAGCCTATCATTTATAAGTAAATGAGTATACAAAGATATTTGGAAAGTACCAGCTTATTTTCAATATTCTAAAATCTGAGCAATGTCTCTGAGTACATATTAACACATAATTCCAAATTTATGAAGCCCAAATAAAAATGAAGTTTTCATTATCCAAAAAATTTATTAGATGGGCCTCCCTGCTGGCACAGGGGTTAAGACACAGGGCTATCATCTATCGCCAGTCACTGCAGCAGGAGTTCAATCCCAACCAGGGAGATGACCCATGTGGCCCCTCAATAGTATATTTCAGCAGATCTACCTGTTCTGCTCCCCACTCTCTCTGGTCAATTCTCTCATACCCACCCCCCCCATACCCTAGTTCTTGTATGCATAAATAAAAATCTTAAAAAAAAACAAAAACCTTAAAAAAAGATAAGACAGCAAAATAGAGGCACCCCTTTTGAGATGTTAAAAAAAAATCTGTAAAGTTGATAGTTTAATTGTGCCAATATTTTTTTAATTTAACAAATCTATTTATTTAAGATAACCTGGTCACCTTATAACATTTTGTATACTTCAGGTGACAGAGCTATCATTTATTTGATAACGGGGTTATAATAAGTTATAATAGGTTATAATAAGGTAAAATTGAATTTGATGTATAACGTGTTTCATTTCTTCCTTGTCAGAAGAGTACAAGAATAACCAAAAGGCACACTTGGATATTTACTATAACTGTGAAGTTTTTAAATCCTCAATTTAATTATTAGTTTGGTACATTAAAATTTTTAGGCCATTTTTTGGTCTATAATATAGTTTTCCTTCAGAGGCATTGCAAAACATTTAACAGTCTATGAGAAATTTTCAGCACTCCTT